TTAGATATACAGAAACTCATGGGGACTGTACACATTCCTCAGTATTGACTTAGAATCACGTCAAGAAACATATATCTGTGAATTTATTGTTTACTATTACTTTGAAGCTTATATGTGCAGTAAATTAAAATGGTTATATTTTCAGAGAAGTCGTTTTGACCAGATAGATAGAATTGATACATCATTAACAGAGAAAATGGAGATGATTCAGGAGTGGTTTGTGGACATCACTAATTGTTCAAATCCAGAAATTCCCAGGGAGATTGTCAACTAGATCCAAGAGGTTATCAATGACAGCCATGGGTGCTAGAATAGGGTATCGCTGTCTGACGTCACTGATTGAAACTATTGGTGGAGAATTCACAGTCCGCCAAAGAAATACCAATCACAATTATGCGTATACTCGGCTACAACAGATCTTATCCCAAGACAGTTCTAGGACCAGTGCCCTATCCTCTGTGTCCTGTACCCGGTTATGACGAAGGCAAAGTACAGAAGCTAGAATCTCTAGAATTGTATGACTACCTTACCCTATTCCAGTACCCATGATGACAGTGCTCCTGGGATTGCTGTGGATTCAATAAGAAATGAGGTTAGAGAGCTTAGACAAACTGTAGCGTCTTTTAGTCATGCAACTGAAGGTTTTCAAGGCCTGGTGGTCAATCTCTCTGAACAAATAATAAATAATTCAATCATTCCGATCTATACAGATTATACAGCATGCACCTTATAGGGATAGTTTGAATCTGGAGAGCAGTCAAATAGAGCAGGAGATTGTAAGGAAAGAAATAGAACTGAATGGAAACTGAAACTGTAGACATAGAATTGATCAAGAAATGTAAGAATATATAGATGTACCTTATGTACACACGGCTATAGGGAAATATCCAGAAAAGTCTTCAGAAATATGTTAAGTTCCCTGGAATGGATTTTTAGTATTGTGATTCAATAAGCAAGTGGCTTGACACTGCTGAGAATTGGTGTTTAAGAACTGAGGAGTTATACAACAAGCCCAAAATCCATAGTTTTAATACATCCAAGGGTGATACAGCTGATGTAGGGGTATTTTCTGATAATGTTAAAGTCACTATTTATGAATTCTTGGAATCTGCTGAGATTGCATACTTGGGTTGGGGTAATTCTGTGCAGAAAGCTAAGAGATTGTATAATCGCCATTTGTCTGAAGAGATTAAAAGCAAGCTGATAAATAAGTTTGATTCTTGTACGGAAATGAAGCAATGGTTGGTTCAACATTATTGTAAAAGATTTGTGCATCCGTCCTAAACCTAACCCTAATGATAGTCATGCCAGATTTTCATTTTATGCTTATATCTCTGGTGCTCTACAAAGATTAGAGAGACTGTCGAAGGTTAGTCGCATAAACAAGCTCTAATTAGAGAGTTGTTTGTACTCTAGAGCTACAGCCTGTCCCTGGTTTTTCCTCTGAGGGACGTATACAATGTGGATCACAGAGATGACAAAGAATGATTTAGATTATAAGAATCCTGCTGGTTCTGAGGCTTATCTAGTTTCAAGAATCTGTGCATTATAGAGAGGAATACAAGTGAGGGATCCAGAGACCTGGAGCAACCCAGTTCCCAAAATGAAAACCTAGATCTCCAAGACAGAAGCCTAAGTAGGCACAAGGCAAGGCAAGGCACAAGAAGTATAAGCACTATAGTTTCAGTAGAAATAAATATTTCCATTTACTGTTATAGCACCGATATAAGGATTTATCTCTAATTGGATAATGAGATATATAGAAAGATAAATGTTACCGCCATGCAATTTCTATTGGTTCAGAATAGACAACAAACACATGGCTGAACCCTGATTGGATCAGGTGCTAATGGACTTGGCATACTAGAGTGAATGAAGTACAATCCAATGAAGATCAATCAACTGGTGGGTTTGAAACTATGTTCCATAATACTTACGAATCGTAAGTTTCCATGTCCTATAGAAATCCACAAGCATGAGATGAGTACATGTGCAGAGAGTTCTTCCCATTCAATCCTGTGCATAGATGAAGTAGAATGGATAGGATGAGCTATGCTTTGCATGTTTACTTCCAAAGAATGTCTGCACTTCTAGTCACTGCAGTTTTGAAGCATTGATCCCTAAGACTATGAAGTGTCAATGTTGTGCACCTTCGGCTTAATCTAAGAATTTAGCTCCATTTAACATATTATTTTGTAGAAACAAGGAGCATGCCAAGCTTAGAGCATCATTCAAGGATATAAAGAAGGACTTAGAGAAATGTATAGGTAATCTTGGGACCACCTTGGTAGATTCAACAATCAAATTTGCTGCAATTTATACATATCAAGGTCAGAGGCCTTTTCATGCAGGTTCTCAGTGATGAGGATGTGGAGGAGGTAACAACTCCTGGCTGGGTTGAGCCTGCTCCTGGGAAGAATAGTTCTGCTCCAGGATGCGCTAGGAGAAGACAGAGTGCTGCATCAAGACTGCTTTGGTCGGATGCAGTTAGGTTTAAGACGTACTATGAGCAGATTAAGGGTGTGGTACATAAGGATGAAGTAGCATTCCCGGACAATCTAGATTTCCACTTCAAAATCCCCTTAGAAGTGGAAGATATAGAGATGTAAAGCTTTGTGAGAGCTGACCAGTGCTGTTTTTGTTTGATAAATAATAATATGAGTAGACTTGTGCCCTGTGTTTGATTTGTCTGAATTGAGAGTGTTTTGGTTGTCTATTCAGTGTTGGTTTAGTCTGACATTTGATAATCATGCAGATCAATCTGTTACTAATATTTGTTCTTGGGTAGTTGTACTGCATGATCCAAGAGTAATTGTATTGGGTTCCGGTTGTGGGGTGAAGCTGCAACTACAATCAATCAATCAATCTTGATAGTGGGGTGCAGTTTCAACTCCAATTAATCAATCATTTTTTTTCTTTTTTCCTGGGTTGGGGAATGTTTCGCGACCAAAAACTCGTGGGGACTGTACACTGTACACATATTCTTATTGTTCTAGGAAATAAAAGAGGTCTTTCTTTTGCAGGTAGAGTGAAAATTTTCAGGGTTTCTGTCTGCTCAGCAAGAACCTGACTATGTAGAGATAATAGATAGATCATTGAACAGTAGGGCGGTCGAGGTGATCACTTTATATGTATACTTTGTGTATAATGTATAATATTTATACTGTATACTCTGTGTATAGTGTATACTCTGTGTGTATTGTATTCTGTATACTCTGTGTATACTGTATACTGTATACTCTATGGTTGTTTGCCTTGAATGTTTTGATGGAGTGTTCCCTTCTAAACCTTTCCATTAAAGAACACAATAGAATAATCAAACTTCCATCAGTCCATACTTTGCTAGAATAACCACCTACCNGAGATAGATAAAAAGGTATTAATACATGTATATAAATACAAAGGAATAGAGAGATAGATAAAAAGGTATTAATACATGTATATAGATACAAAGGAATAGAGAGATAGATAAAAAGGTATTAATACATGTATATAGATACAAAGGGATAGAGAGATAGATTGCATTTCAGTTATATTTCTGAACTTTATTAATCTTCAATGAAAACTACAAACTAATATCTACTAATCTCAATATGCTAACCTTTAATTTGGTAAATTTTACGGAATTTATGGATTGGCACACTGTAGCAAAATTACGCACACAAAAACAAATTGGAGAAAAGTTTCTAGAATTTCAAATTAAAGACCTAGTATACAGGGTACAGAAAAAAATTCGAAAATTATTCCTGAAATAAATGTTGCTTGTCTTTAAAATGTGAGACCAAAAAGTAAAATATAAAACATATTTATTTAATTTAAAAAAAAACATTTTGTTTCACAAATTGATTTCTTAAACTTAATGATGAACAGTGAGGGTTGAAGCAACGGCCTGGATTGCAAGCCAATGCAGCAGCAAGCCAATGCTTAATTTATGCCAGATTAAAGCGTGGTTTTATATTCCACAGTTTAATTATATAAACCAGAATATAGGGCTCTGTATAAAACCAAGATGAGGGGGGGTCTAAAACCAAGAGGGGGGAGGGGGTTCGTATGCACACAAAAGGCTTAGAAATATAGAAACACTTTCACAAGGTCAGAGAAGAGGAATAAATGATTAGAAATATAGGAATACACTTTCAAATGGTTAGATAGAGGAATAAATGGTTAGATTATATAGGAATAAACTGTTATAAGGTTAGATAGAGGAATAAATGGTTAGATTATATAGGAATAAACTTATAGATAGATAGATAGATAGATAGATAGATAGATAGAGGGATAGATAGATAGATAGATAGATAGATAGATAGATAGATAGATAGATAGATAGATATATAGATAGATAGATAGATAGATAGATTGATAGATTGATAGTTAAATGGATGGAATGATAGATAGATAGATATATTGATAGATATATAGACAGATCAAATTATTTTATGAATATTAGGAAATAATTCTTCATTTTTTCTCACCTTGATAAATGTTGGTCGGGATTTTTGTAAAATTAAGGATTGAATGGCCAAGGAGGCGTTCTTTTTTGAAGCTAAAATAATTGGCCGCCTCCCGAGAAATGTAAATATAAATAATTGCCGCACCCCTGGGCAGTTTAAACATTGAAAACACGTTGTGTTTCACCGGAATATAATGGGTTTAATAAAAAACTCAGTTTTATATTAATAACTTTACTGGTTTCAACGTAGGAGGGATATTTATTGTTTTGGGATTCATTATCTTTTGACGCAACAAAAATTAAACTAAAATATTCTTTAAAATTTGTTATTTCAGCCGGACGAAAAATCCGACCAATCAACCGACTGACCAATTAACCGTCTGACCAACCAACCGTCAGAACAATTTTCCGTTCAATCAATATACCATCGGACCAATCAACCGCCCCTCTATCAACCTTCCAACTTATCAACCATCCGACCAATAAACCGTCCGACTAATCAATCATCCGACCAATATACCATCCGACCAATAAACTGTCCCACTTATCAACCGTCCAGACTATCAACTATCCAACTTAGCAACCGTCCGACCAATCAACCGTCCTACCAATCAACCCTCCGACCAATCAACCGTCCAACTTATCAACCATCCAACTTATCAACCGTCCTACCAAACAATCTTCCAACCAATCAACCGTCTGACCTATCAAGAAACCGACCAATCAACCGTCCAACTTATCAACAATCCAACTTATCAGCCATTCAACCAATTAATCTTTCGACCAATCAATCGTCCGACCAATCAATTGTCTGACCAATCAATCGTCAGACCAACCAACTGATTGACCAATCAACCATCCCAACAATCACCCGTCCGACCAATCAACCGTCCGACCTATCAACTGTCCAACCTAGCATCAGTCCAACTTATCAATCGTCCGACCAATCAATCATCCCATAAATCAGCTGATTGACCTATAAAACGTCCGACCAATCAACCGTCCGACCTATCAACCGTCCAACTTATCAACCGTCTGACCAATCAACAAACTGACCAATCAACCGACTGACAAATCAACCGACTGACAAATCAACCGACTGACAAATCAACTAACTGACCAATCAACCATCCAGCCTATCAACCGTCTGACCAATCAAACGTCCAACCAATCAACCGTCGGACCTATCAACCATCCGACCAATCAACCATCCAACTGATCAACCGTCCAACCTATCAACCTTCCAATTTTTCAATCGTCCGATAAATTAACCCTCCTACAATTCAGCCGTCTGACCTATCAAATGTCCGACCAATCAACCATGACCACTCAACCTTCATCCCCATCAACAGTCCGACTAATTAACCTTCCGGCCAATCAACCTTCCAATTTATCAACAGTCCGACCTATATATCGTCTAACCAATCAACCGTCCGTCCAATCAACCATCCGACCAATCAACCCTCATACCAATCAACCCTCAGACCAATCAATCGTCCGACCAATCAACCATCCGACATATCAACCCTCCGACCAATCAATCGTCCGACCAATCAACCTTCTGACCAATCAAGACTATATTTTAAGACAGAAAACCATATTCAAATTTAGTTTGTTATTTTAAATTTGTAATTGGTCGCCATTAAAGTGTTTTGTATATATTATTATTCAAATTTGGATTGATTTGGAGGGAGATATGCGGACCAGGGCTGCTTGATGTCTCCTGCTAAACTCTTATGTGATAGATAGATAATTTCTCCGGTCACTTGCCGACCAATATAGGAGACGTCAAGTTGTCGACCAATATTGTTTATCGAAGGAACGGCCTATGTAGTATGTACGACAGTTTGTTGATGACAAACTATGATGACATTGAAAAGTTGACGAATATAAAGATGAAATATAAAATATAAAAATGCAAAATAATTAATCTGGTTTGATCCTGCATTAATCTGGTTGGATCCTGCATTAATCTGGTTGGATCCTGCATTAATCTGGTTGGATCCTGCATTAATCTGGTTGGATCCTGCATTATCATGGCTTGTTGCAAGCAATAATATATTTAAGTACACTAAGGAAGGGTCCTAAGGGTGGCTCAATATAATTTTCATACAGTGAGATCCATAAAACTGTGGAATGAGAAGACGATATTTAATCAATACTGTGAGTATTTGATGCTGTTTTAAACAAATAGTTTAATCATTTGCATGATTATCAACTTACTATATGGTGAAATGGGTTCGTTAACACTGCACAATTTCTGTAGCATATTCAATCTTATATTGATCTTGATGATTTCTTGATCTTGATGCTTTTCTTGATCTTGATGCTTTTATTGATCTCGATACTCATAAATTGTTCTCGATGTTTCTCTTGATCTTGATGTTTCTCCAGATCTTGATGCTTCTCCAGATATTGATGCTTCTCCAGATATTGATGCTTCTCTTGATCTTGATGCTTCTCTTGATCTTGATGATTCTCTTGATCTTGATTCTTCTCTTGATCTCGATGCTTCTCTCGATATAGATTCTTCTCTTAATCTTGATGCTTCTCTTGATATATATTTCGAATGTAACGTCAGAACCGAAAAGTTATCCAAAAACATTTTGACTACTTCCTCTGGCAACTTTTCATCTATCTTGAAGCTTTCACAAATAAATTTCTTCTTATTCTCATCTGTAAGATGATATGATTCTTGAATATCTTTCATTTCCGCTAATGTTTTATTATCATCTTCATGATTCTTCATGTCTATAGCGGTATACTGCCTGACAAATTATAATCATTCTCCGGAAGTACTAATTCTCTGCCTGCTTCTTGTTCTTCTGCTAGCATGGATTCTACAAGATCCTCATTTTTTCAATTCTCCTGTACTCGTACTTTCCCTAATTTAGCCCTTCCAGCAGGAATGGGCACTTTCTCTCTTACTTCCAGTATATGATTCACAGTAAGGATTTTCTCTGCTTTCTTTCCTATTTTATCTATCTTCTCTTCCTTACTCATAACTGGGAATGGAGTGTCTGTTATATTACATAACCGGGTTAATCTTACCTGACTTATACTTCTATATTGCTTCGTGTTCTGAACAGAAATTGTCACTTCCTGTTGCTCTACGGTATTTATTACACTTCTATCTAACCATGGTATACCTTATTNAATTGCAGATAAAAACAATGTACATTGTACATTTTAAACATAAGAATGATAATAAATCAGGTAAAAGGTAAGGAGGAGGTGAGGGAGTATAAAGAAAAGGGAGGATACTCAGCGTAAGGGTTGGAACAGAGGGTAACATAAGTTATTAGAATCATGTTTATGAACTACAGGGTGAAGAAGATAGTAAAGACTAAGTTTATCCACATGATACACAGTTTTTTTTTTTACAGATATAATTTGCATAACTATCTAAATAGATCTTTGCGACTTTTCTTTTGAACGATTTTGCAGATTTAGTTTCTTTAAGTCTTTCAACTGGTATTTTTGAAGTTGGGCTTATTAAGAAATCTACAATGCAATATACTGTACACTGTACAGTATAAACAGTATACTTTACAGTGTACAGTATATTGTACAGTGTACACTATACTGTACAGTAGTCTCTAAATCTTTATTTAAATTTAGCTTGTCTGGGTGTCTGTTTGTTTGTTCGTTTGCTTGTATCCAATAAACGTCAAAACGGCTGAATCGATCGGGCCCAAATTTTGTGTGGGACCTCACGTGGCCCCAGGTAAGGTTTATGGCCAATCAAACTTTAAATATGTAATCTTAAAATATTCTTATCTTAAATTATTTTAAAATATTTGTTAAAATTTGAAAAAAAATATTATGAAATCCGCAAATTAAAAAAAATTATTTATACTGTTCAAAGACAAGATGCTTACAGATAAAGCCACAATTAAAAGTTGAACAAGAAGATGGGCGAATGACGAATGACTTGATAAACGTAACAACTGACTGAACGAGAGGATGAGAGTGAGAAAGGATTGAGTTATAGGATGAGGCTGAGGGCAGAGTATAAGGAGGAGGGATGAGTAGGATAAGGGGAGGAAGGGATGAGTAAAATGAGAAGGAGGGGATGAGTAAGATTAGGAGGAGGAGGGATGAATAGGATGAAGAGGATGTAGGAATGTAGTAAATACCCTACTCCATAACGGTTTCTAGAACCCGTTTCTATCTAGGTACAAATCAGTTTCCCAGTTATCAATGTCTAAACCTGGACACAATCTCGTCAGCTATCGATGTCAACATGGACACTAGCTTGTAAACTATCAATGCCAAACCAGTGGGCATTGATAGTTGGCCCAGGAATTGTCTGAACTAACCTAACCCTGAAATAATACATAAAATATTTTTTCCCATTTTGACCCTTTGTCGTTTTACCCTTTGTTGCCTATTTGTCGTTTGACCCTATGTTGTTTGACCCTTGGTCGTTTGACCCTATGTAGTTTGACCCTAAGTTGTTTGACCATAAGTCGTTTGACCCTATGTTGGTGAACCAAACCTATAGGCACAATAAGCTATCAATGTCCTCTAGACACTAGCTCATAACTATCAATGCCAAACCAATGTGCATGATCTTCAACTCTTTTTACTAATTAGCACATTTTTAGCTATATTGACAATGTACAACGTAATTTATCTAGATTTACTATGTATTTATTACAGGGAGAATATAGTATAAGGATGAGAGATGAGTAGGATAAGAAGTAGGAATGAGTAGGATAAGGATGAGGGATGAGTAGGATGAGTAGGAGGGATGGATGAGTAGAAAGAGGAGTAGGGAGGGATGAGAAGGATGAGAAGGGGGGAGGGATGGGGAGGATGAGGAGGAGGAAGGGATGATTAATTTATCGAGGAGATAAGTAGGATAAGGAGGAGGGATGATTTGGATGCGGAGGAGGAGTAGGTGGAGGGAGGGATGAGAAGGATGAAAAGGAGGGAAAGATGAGTAGAATAAGGAGGAGGGATGAGTAGGATGCGGAGGAGGAGTAGGTGGAGGTAGGGATGAGAAGGAGGATAGAGGTGAGTAGGATAAGGAGGTGGAGGAGGAGGAAGAGAAAGAGAAGGAGGGAGGGATCACGAGGAGAAGAGAGGGATGAAAGATAAATATAAAATATGGTAGAAATAACACTGAATATTGTCAAGTGTTTCCTTAGAGTTTAATAAAGCATAAAATATAGAATATTCAACTTTAGAGGATAGCCAACCTCGTTTATCTATCTATCTATCTATCTATCTATCTATCTATCTATTTATCTATCTATCTATCTATCTATCTATCTATCTATCTATCTATTGATAAGGGGAGGGTTTAAGAGTAAAGGTTAAGGGTATTCTGGAATCAATCATTTCTAAACCCTCAATCTCATTTATGATAGATAGATGGATGAACGGATAGATGGAAGGATGGATAGATGGTAGGATGGATAGACGAAAGGATGGATAGATGGAAGGATGCATAGGTGGATAGATGACAAGATCGATATATGGATAGATGGATAGTGAAAGGATGGATATATGGATAGATGGATAGATGGATAGTGAAAGGATGGATATATGGATAGATGGATAGATGGATAGTGAATAGATGGATAGATGGATAGATGGATAGTGAATAGATGGATAGTGAATAGATGGATAGTGAAAGGATGGATAGATGGATAGATGGATAGTGAATAGATGGATAGTGATGGATAGTGAATAGATGGATAGTGAATAGATGGATAGTGAAAGGATGGATAGATGGATAGATGGATAGTGAATAGATGGATAGTGAATAGATGGATAGTGAATAGATGGATAGATGGATAGTGAATAGATGGATAGTGAATAGATGGATATATGGATAGATGGATAGATGGATAGATGGATAGATGGATAGTGACCAGATGGATAGATGGATTTAGAATGATTAAGTAGATAGTAATCTAAATTCTAGATCTGGATAA